GCCTTATGTCAAGAACAGGGAATTTGGGATGGACCCCAAAATGTGCCATGAAGAATCTTCAGAAGGGTTTCTTGCACCAGCTGCTGGGAGTGCTATTGGCAGCCTTCAATTGTCAGTGCCTCAGGATCTGCCTCATCTCCAGAGAGCTAGCTAACCCCAGGGCATACCGCTTCCTAGTGTGGCCCTTATCAGAGCACGGATGGATTGAGCGGTATCAAGGTTATTCATCTTAGCCGAACTCACATGAACTCTGAAGGCTCCTAGTAGTTCCAGAGTTTCCCTGGGATCCGCTCAGGCTGTTGTTGGTTGTGTAAAACAGCTCAGCTTCTCCCTCTGCCCACCCTACACCACAGGTATTAGGTCCAAGGTCACTCCTTACTAAATATCCTACACACTAAACTTGGAGTTGAAGTCATTCTGCTTCATGGAAAATCGGTAAAAGAAAGGGCCTCACCCTTTGTTTATCTTTTAAAGAGTACAACTATGATCAAGGACAAAATTACATATTTGGTTTGATAAAAGAAAGACTTGTCTTTCAACAATGGAACAGCCTGCCTTCAGAAAGCAGTGAATCTGTGTAAGACAGAGGGGCACTACTGTTGTTGAAGTGTTTCTGTTCACTACTGTTATTGGAGTGTTGGAGTGTTTCTGATAGCCAACACACAGCACAGTATCACTAGTGTTTATAAATTAGTGATTAGAAAATGATTATAGAACATTCTGGATTCAATAGGTACTGGGAATAATTTTAAACATATATGGGAAGAAATCCCATTTCCTAATGAACTCCCTGAAATAATCTGAGATTACTTAATTCTAACCTTAAGATGCAGATACAATATAATTCAGAACACAGTGGCAGAAACTGTCAATGTCCACCAATAGCCATTTGTTCCTCTGTCTTTCAGTAATAAAATCCCAAATGTTAGTGGCCTACATGTCTATCTAGCAAAACACTACATTTCCCAGATTCCCTTGAAGCAAATGAGTCCATGTGATTAAATTACGGTAGTGGGATCTGGGTGGTAATGATGCATGCATTTTTGTTTTCTTGCTTTTTATTTCTTTTTTGCCCATCCCAAGGCTGGCACACAGCAGTACTTGCTGGTGGTAAGGCAGCAATGCCACTCTAGGAAAGGGGAAGCAATAATGCAGAAAATTCCTGGGTTTCTGAGTGACCTCTGGAGTAAGACTCTTCTATCTCTGGACTGCCTATCAGCTTTGACTTTTATGTGGAATAGAAAGAAACCACCTATTTTGTTTAAGTCATTATGATTTTGGTCTCTGTTAAAACGACTTAACAAATATTCTAATGTATACAGATGCCAAATCAACATCTCAGACCTGGTGATGTTCATTCTTTGCCCTGTAAGCATGGTATCTTATCAGAAGACCGGAATACGATAAGAATAAGAATTAATATCCTTTACCTGTGAGTTAAATCCTGCATTATCCTTCTTCCTTTCTGATGCTCTGCCTTGTCCTGGCCCACATTATAATTTATTTCAATATAAAAATCAAGAGCTAAGGCAAGATCTGGGCTGAAATTATGTTTGTCTAACTATACAGTAGGATTGTCACCAGCAATTAAAAACTTGATTTGTCTTGCTGCTGACATTGTCTTGAGAAGTAATTTTAAGATAAGTTTATATTGTATATACACATAGATATATGATTCATTCATTCCTCCCATTTTCTTTCATTCATTAATTTGACTGCAAACTATTCAAGTAAAATAAAACCAATTCATCATAAAAGAGATCAACTTAGATATATATTAATAAATAAATGAAAAGAATAAGTGAGGCACAACTATATCTTAAAAACTTCAAAAGAAACAGAAATCTGAAGTTCAATGTAAACCATTTTTATGAATGGTTTATTATTGAAATTTCCCCTATTTCTATTAATGTAATGATTGATGCTTTTATAGTATAAGAACCATAGCTTAAATAGAACATCCTGAAATATCATTAACTGGTGTAGACCCTATTTCTTTTTTAGTACCTAAAGAAAGTACAGATGTATAATTGTCAGCTCTTTTGGCTGGAAACATGGAAACATGTAAAGTCCAAAATCATTGCCATTTTTATCATGGCACCAGCTGAATTTCAGGTACTTATCTGGTTCTGGAGATGAAGTGCTGCATATGTCATTTATAAAATATACATACATGCCCAGGCATGGTGGTTCATGCCTGTAATCCCAACAGTTTGGGAGGCCGAGGCGGGTGTATTACCTAAGGTTAGGTGTTTGAGACCACCCTGACCAACACGATGAAACCCTGTCTCTACTAAAAATACAAAAATTAGCCAGGTGTGGTGGTGTGTTCCAGTAATCCCAGGTACTTGAGAGGCTGAGGCAGAAGAATCTCTTGAACCCGGGAGGCTGAGGTTGCAGTGAGCTAAGATCATGCCATTGCACTCTAGCCTAAGCAACAGAGCCAGACTCCATCTTAAAAAAAAATCTGTCTATCTATCTATCTATCTATCTATCTATCTATCTATCTATCTATCAATCATCTATCGCCAGACTCCATCTTAAAAAAAATCTATCTATCTATCTATCTATCTATCTATCTATCTATCTATCTATCTGTCTGTCTGTCTATCTATCTATCTATCTATCTATCTATCTATCTATCTATCATCTATCGCCAGACTCCATCTTAAAAAAAATCTATCTATCTATCTATCTATCTGTCTATCTATCTATCTATCTATCTATCTATCTATCTATCTATCTGTCTGTCTGTCTGTCTGTCTATCTATCTATCTATCTATCTATCTATCTATCTATCTATCTATCTATCTATCATCTATCGCCAGACTCCATCTTAAAAAAAATCTATCTATCTATCTATCTATCTGTCTATCTATCTATCTATCTATCTATCTATCTATCTATCTATCTATCTACACATGGGTTATTTAGGAGAGGGCAAGGATTCTAAAACCTAGAATATGTTTTCAGTTACAATTCTGTCTTTAGACTTATGTATATCCAGAAACATGCTCACCTTTTCCTAAAGCAACAGCTCATTGTTCTACAGCAAATATCAAAAATAATAACTATTTAGGAATCACAGAAATCGAAGATCCAGATTCTCACATAACAGGGAACAAACTGGAGGTGTGGGTGGTGGGAGGGGAAGCTGAGTGTCCCCTGGTCTGTGGCATTGCTGGTTTGCCGAAACAGAGTACCTCTGAGGTCACTGCCTCTGGGTGTTTCCACCTGGTTTTCACTCTGCTTCCCTTAATACTTTTTCACCAGAATCTTAACCACATCATGTCAATATTTTACTTCAAAAACAGATGTTGAGAAGAGCTCAGAGTAAACCACCACTTTTTGTTGCATCTCAGCAACATATCTGGTTGGAGGAATAGCTACCAGATAACTTAGGCCTACATATTCTATTCAACGGAAGGAATCTCTTCTTTCCTGGATTCGGCTAGATTCTAGCAAACATCTACTATGTTTCTGGGACTGTTCCGGTACATTTGCTTTCACATAAATTTGTTCACTTAATTCTCTGAACTTGCCTTCTTTTACTTACCCCAGGTAGCCTCCAAAGGGCCAGTTTATTACACAGAGAATAAACTCAGAGAAGTGAGTAAAGTAAACTGCATAGACGTGGCCATAAACTGGTTTTAGACATTTAAGGAGATTTTTAGTTAAAAAGATTATTCAGTAAGTAAAAAATAGTTTGAAAGATGCCACTGAAAAGTGAAAGAGTATGCATTTAAAATACAACTATTACTCAAACTCACAGGTCAATATGTAACTTTAAAATCTGCTCCTTCCATTGCAGAAGGGAAAGAAAACTAATATATTTCATGCTTCTCTTTTCAAGAAGATATCTTAAAGTAGCAGGGGAGCATATGATTAAAAATTATCTTAAATATCATTTGCTGTGGTTAGTTACTCTTAGCAATCATTTTGGTCGTCAACAATAGTAGCAATCAAGTCGATTAAAAGCACTAAACACTAAAGAAAGCATCATTATAGACATTTTTCATCCCAGAAAGACAAAAGTTTATTCTCAAAGATAGAGGATTACAAGTCATTTAGAAAAGTTAGCCGAGATGTTTCCTGAAGCATCTCGAAAATGGTTCAGCATTTATTAACTACCCTGTTCGGGATAATGCTATAGGGAGATCACATCTCTCTAAGGAAGATGCCAAGAACATATTAGCTGCCAGTTTGAGAGCCTTCATCTGTTGCTCAGAACTAGTTTTAGGAAACAATGGTGGCATTTATCAAACACAGAGAAAAGACTGTAGATGCTGGAACTCAGAATTCAGCAACTAAAGAAATTTAGTAGCTGAGAATTGGGGAATGGAAGTGCAAATATTGCAAAAATACCTCTTTCCCCCCCACCAACTGAAGCCTTAGTTTGTCTATAGGAAAATACCTATTTGAATAATATAAACAGTACCATACTCATATCTGAGGTACCTTAAAGGTGAGATGATTTAAGTCAACTTGATAATACAATAAAATGAAGGATATGAGTTTTAGTATCGATTTAGGCTATGATTTTGATTAATTTTTGGTTTTAGAGCATAGCAGTGAAAAAAAAGAACAATTTCCTTCCACGTGTTTTCATGTGTTGTATCATAAAAAAGGAAACGAAGACGTATTTTTGAAAATTACTGTTAGCAAATTTGTGAACCTCATGTTATTTCTAGTTGCTAAGTCTGCCTCAGAGATAAGTCTGGATAAACTTTTTTTTTTCTTTATAAAATGCTTGCAGTAAAGTAAGTCAAAAGAAAATATGGATCCACATCTTTTCACCATTTTGAAAAGCACAAGACCGCAGTACAAAATAAGCACAACTTTCTCCAGCTAGAATGAGCTTCTTAAAGTTTATAGAATTCATGAAATGGTGACCATATGCAGGCTTCAGTTTGAGGAGTTTCTGATCGACTTACTGCATATAGGCAGAACATAGCTCTGCTCAGCCTCACCAAAGCTTCACGCACACACGAAACACTCACCACTGGTGATGGGGAAAGTGCGATGTTGCCTATTGATGCCTTCAATTCATCTACAGTTGCAGCATTCTTAAGAATGTCTTTAGATTGCAATGGTTTAATCTTGATATTGAATTTCTTATGTGATTCTTCTTCCTCTTCCGATTCACTCGAAGAATAAAAGTGCTTTCCTTTGGTAGGTAGAACACAGTTAAAGATACATAACTCTTTCTTCTACTGGGAGACAACGACTCTAAGGCCAGAGTGGTTGCACATAGAGACAGCAAAAGTGTCCTTAGACAATCAAAGCAAGGCATAGAAAAATAAAAGAGGAAAGGGTTAGAATTTATTCACCCTTCCTCAGAACATGATCAAGGATGGTGAATTTCAAGAAGCAATGGTTATAATATGCTACATTTTTGCTGCAGTTGGCCATTGGTTGTGTCACGTTCAGCACACACAGACAGGCACATGTGAGCTTACTCAGCTACAGAGAGAGGAAGGCTGCTTTATGGGTGATCCATGATGAGTTTTAAATGCATCGGTGTGACATGCTTTGCCCAGAGATGAATTGTAGGGAGAAGACAGAGCTATTTTCCAGTCACTATAAATGGCAGTCATATCAGGGTTTAGCAAACAGCCCAATACCCACCATTTCAACAACTGTTTTTTAGCACGTTTTTCTCTTTCTCCTCTCTCTTTTCTATGAATAGATTAAGGCAAAATGCCTGTTTGCTGGAGCTCCGGCTGTTCTCAGTGCTGTCTATTCATCTCTAATATTAGGAATAACAGGACTTGTGAAGATTAGGTTATTTCATTACCTGTGTAAAATCTGAATTTATCTTACTGTTTCCTGAGAGTAAATGAAAATTAAAATAAAAAAATAAAGAAAGGATATAGCCGGGTTCCTCGGGTCTGATGCTATAGCCTTCTTCATCCAGCTCAGGTGAGTTCTATAAAATGCAAGTGCACATTCAGTAATTATTATCCTAACCGTGATCAAGAAATTATTTTTTTTCCTAGAGTCTTCTATTTAAGGACATAGAAAAGTCTTTTCTTTTAGGAGAGGAAGCTTTTAACTTCTGAAATGAATTCTGAGCAATGTGTTTAGATATTTACTCAAGGATACTTGGAGAGTCCTCCTACTGGGAAAATAAACGAGGAGGAATCAACTGTCAATGAAAGAAAGCATTCAAACGGAATTTAACATGCATTTCCTGTAAGCCAAGGACTGTGCTAAGCAATATGGGTATAAGAAATGGAAATTATCTGACCTCAGGGAAATCGAAATGTATTTTGGTAGGCAAAAATTAAAAAGAAAATACGAAACACAAAACACCTGTGTTAGACAGGGTTCAAATAAAAGGAAACTAGTGAGGTTTACAAGAATCAGAGCGGTCTTTATGGATCTTTCAGGACAGACAGGAGAGGGCAGAGTGGGAGCTCCTTCTAGGTGGTAAGGAAGAGCCTATTCAGATACACCAAAATGGGAATGGACACTGGGTGACTCAGATGGGGAGACAGATGGGGCGATAGCAACACTAACACGGCTAGAGAAGCAGCTGCACAGTGGGAGATGGGGAAATGAGCTGATGAGAGCCAACATGCCAGGGAAAGAGTTTGGACTTCAGGTAGCGACTGCAGCTTCTCAGCTAGGGTGGGACATGCTGAAAGCAAAATCTTCAGGAGTTCTGGAAGTATGTTCCAGGATAGCCTTGGGGTAGAAGAACTGGAGAAAGAACAACTAATTCAAAACATGTGCATTAATTCAGGCAAGAGGTACTAAGAATATGGATAAAGTTAATTGGTGGGATGGGATGAACTGAGGACATTTGAAAGGATGGATTATTGATTCTTGGTAACAGATCAGTCATAAGAAAAAGGCAGAGGGAAGGTTCAAGAGGACTTTAATATTTCTACCCTCAAATTATGGGAGAGTGCTGGCTAATTCTGACAGCAGACAACTAATATTTTTTGGAAAGAAGCAGAAAACATATAAAGGCAGTTTGCATTGTTGGGATTAGAATGATCAGATTTGGATTGTTATTATACGGAAAGCATTGTGACCCATACTTTACCTCACTGAACCACTTAAAAAGCATATGCGAAAAGAATTATCCCATTTATCAAGAAAGAAAATAAGAGAAATCAGACGCCGTTTCTCAAGGAAACACATCTAGCAAATGTTAGACCTAGGTTCTGACCCCTGGCGTTTCAGACTATACCCTATGTCCTAGAGGGGAGGAAAATGAAGCATTTGTAGGTGGCCCTGTTGAAGTTGAGTTGATAGATCTGCCAGTGAGAGAAGGCAGAATTGGACAGTTACTTTTGGGAGTTAATAAAGTGGTAAAAATGCCATAACCATGGAGAGAGAAGTGGGTCTATATACCATGGAAAAAGGCCCATTAAAAATTGATTTTTATTGTCTATATTTAAAGTGTACCACATGTTTTGATATGCATATGCATAGTAAAATGACTACTACAGTTAAATTTACATTTCTGGTACCTGCCATAGTAACCCTTCTAATTGTGTGTGTATGATTCGAGCACCTAAACTCTTAGCAAATTTTTACTACATTAGATATCTAGACTTCGTCTTACCTCACTGCAAATTTGTACTCTTTGACTTACTCCTTTCATTTCTTCTTTCTTTCTGCCCCTGCTAACTACTGTTCTACTCTGTTTCTATGTATTTGACTTCTTTTTTATTTCTTTATTTTTTTTGAGACAGTCTTGCTGTGTTGCCCAGGCTGGAGTGCAGTGGTGCAATCTTAGCTCACTGCAACCTCTGCCTTCTGGGTTCAAGGACAATCCTCCTGAACCTCCCATATTTGACTTTTTTTTTTTTTAAAAGATTCTGCATATAAGCAAGATCATACAGTATTTTTCCTTCTATATCTGAAACACCATTTTTTTGAGCATTTATTGTGTTACTCCTCTTGTCCTCCTTCTTTGGTTCTCAGAGTTGCTTTTTGTTTTTTATACAAGTGTGTTGAGGTTACTTGCCTGCGAAAACGTGACCCTGGCTTCTTACTGCATTTAGAATAAAGGCCAAGTGACTCTGTGTAGCCAATAAGGCCCAGCAGGGCTGGCTCCTACCCCTCTTTCTAGTCTCACGTCTGTAATTACCTTCCATTGATCCCCTCTCAGCCGCATGTTCTCTCCTTCTCAATGTTTTTGATTTGGGTGCTGCAAGCGCTGTCTCATTTCAGGGACCTCATCAATGTTGTTCCCTCTGCCTGCAACTCTCTTCCACCAAATGTTCAGCCAGTTAGCCTCTATGTGTATTTTAGGCCTTTGCTCAGAGGTCACGTCCTTTCCTGCCAAAATCAAGTTGACTTGCCTCTATTCTCAAAGCTTCTAAGAAATAGAACCAGGGCTGAAACACCCTGAGTTAATATTAGAAAAACATTTTTTGAACAAATACTACAGGCTAGCAGGTTACTAAAATGTTCTGCAAATAATTAGCTCATTGAATCCTTGCAAAAATAACACAAGATAACTATTGACTTCTTTTTTGCTACCCAGTAAATAACAATTTGAAGGCCATGCACGGCTGATATTTATAGGGGCTAGATCAGGGGTGTCCACAAGAAAAGAAAACCAAACACCACATGTTCTCATTCATAAGTGGGTGTTGAACCATGAAAACACACGGACACAGAGAGGGAAACATCACACACCGGGGCTTGGGGGGTGAGGGGCTAGGGAAGGAATAGCAGCGGGTGGGGGGATTGGAGAGGGATAGCATTAGGAGAAATACCTAACGTAGATGACAGGGTGATAGATGCAGCAAACCACCACCATGGCGCGTGTATACATGTGTAACCTGCATGACCTGTACATGTACTCCAGGTCTTAAAGTATAATAGATAAATTTTTAAAAAAGATCAGGGGTGTCCAATCTTTTGGCTTCCCTGGTCCACATTGGAAGAAGAAGAATTGTCTTGGGCTACACATAAAATACGCTAACATTGACAATAGCAGATTAGCCAAAATAAATAAATAAATAAATAAATTGCAAGAAACCTCATAATATTAGACAAGCTTGGGCTAGATCTTGAACCCGGTTCTGACAGACTCCATTTCCTTTAGCCCCATCATAAACATGCCAGACACTTCCTAATGACATGGAGAGCATTTTACTTATTTCTAAGTCCTCTTATAAGAATGTCTCAACTCATTTTTAAAGTGTGAAATACTTGATACAGAGAAACAATCTTCCGATACTCACATATCTTTCCCAATCAATTTCCGCATAAAATCCATTTGGTGCCCCATTGCTTTTCTTCTGTAATAAATTTGAAAATGAATTTAGAAGGAAAATATTTGAATAAAAACAAAGGAACAAAGAACATTGAACTCTTATCTGCATTTAGCAAGAGCTATCAAACTCCAGCACTGGAAAGACATATTAGAGCAGCTTATTAAGGAGCCACAATGGTGTAACGGAATGGTAAATCTAGCTGCCGTGACACTGAAGAAAAGGGCCTACGTGCTTATTTCACAAAAGATTGTAGGATACCGAGGTACAGGGATATTAATGATGGACTGTTCAAATTTTATTCAGTTACTGAAGAATTAGCAGCACCTTCATTATAATTTAATCTTCTAAACCTACAGGGGATATAACCATGTGTATATGTATATTAAATGGAAACATTTTTACTTCCATGCTGCCACTATTATACAATTAGTTCTGACATATCCAAGGAGTACTCATCCAAGTCATTAACTAATCTTTTAGCATTTTTAGCACTGACTCAATTTTTCTGTTACTACCCCCTTGATAAAACATAGAGGAAGTCAGCTCCAAATCAGTTCATCCAGCTCCTAGTTATTAAAAATAATCTTTTTAAAAATGGTTTTTCTTATCAAATTTTTAAAATAGAATTTGAGGATTAATGGTGGATTTTTGTCATCTGTGTGATCTGTGCCTTCATGAGCACACATCATTGCACATCATTGACTGGATGTCAATCATTGACAGCCAATCATTGACCATACATCATTGACTGGATGTCAGCACTGCTCTCTTCCAATTATCTTAAAGTTTTCTTTGCTCCTTAGTACAACCATGACACATGATCACAAGCACTTGAGTAAGGATGTAGCATCACCCAAATAGAAATTACCAAGATTTTCTATGTCTTGTGAGCAAAGGACAAAAACACAAATCAGGTTGGTAATGGAGGGTCCACCCAAAGACATTCTTATATTTAGCACATGGAGCAAGGTCATGTCACTATGCATAGCAGATCTCAGAACAACACACATCAAATGGTGATGCATGAGGCTTGAACACAGGACCTCTAATTTTGCAATCACAAATAAAGATCACTTGAACTGCAATGTAAACAACTAATACCCAATTTGACAAATAGGTGGAGAAATAAGCTTTTTATGTGTGCACAAAGGATCACTAGATGACCCAGAATAACCATCATCATTGAGTAACAGTGAATGTCGACTGGGCATTCTATGGACTAGCAGGGCTTTGGCAAGGGTAAATAGCGCACAAGAAATAGCTAATGTGTTCGTTCCCTCTGTCTTCCAATATACTACCACTGCACTTGAATTTACAAATATAAGAACTGGGCCATGCCTTCACAGATCAGCATCCAGGGACATAAGATATGTGACCATCTCCCTCTTTGCCCCACTCCTGACAGATTATTTGTATGCAGACTACGTCATTTAAATCTTCCCATAGAATTGCCTTTGTTGAATTAGTGCTTAAGTGATATTTTTTCTGCTTTGAAGAAAGGTCTTTGTAAAACCTTTGTTCAAAGGTCATATCAACTCTGCCTGTGTATACCTTATGAAGCCGCTATTGAAAACTTGTCCATTATATAATGTGCCACTTAATAAAAATTCTTATTTCACTTGAGAATAAACAGGGTTCCTATTTTCTCTTTCTCATGCTTACTTTCTCTTTTAATTCCCTCTTCACCAGTCTTTTTGTTTACGACTTCTTTGCAAAATGCTCCACTCTTTCTTAGAAAGCATATGCAATGAACATGTTCAATACAGACATTTGATTTACAATGACAGGAGATCAAAAGAACTAAGTAGCTTCCAGAGAAGTAAACTCATGAATTTTGTGATTTAGGATTTTTACCCCAAACCAGAGATTAGATAAATTACTGAGTTCAACATTTTCAAAGTTCTATAGTTTGTGTCCATGATAATCTCATCTTCATAACTAAAGCCCTTAAAAACCAAGATGGTTTATATGTTCAGCTAAACAGTTTATATATATATACATATATTTGTGTGTGTATGTATGTGTGTATATATATGTGTGCACATATACATATATACATATACGTATGTGTACATATACACATACACACACATATACATACACACACACATATACTCACATATAGAAATATACATATACTATACATATTCACACACACAGATAAATATGTATAGTGGTTTTTCTTTCCTTCTTTACAACATATATCTAACATTGTAGAAAAAAAGGTTTCTAAATTTAAAGATCTAGGCAGAGTGAAAATTTCCCAGTTTGCATGAAAACCAAAGGAAGATTGAGACAAAGGGAAAGCAAAACCTGTAGAAACTTTTTCATCAAACATAGGGACACTTTAAAAACAAATACTAAAAACAAACAACGAATCATAACAATACATTATTTTTGGCAGATATTCAACACACACACACACACACACACACACACACACACACACACACACGCATGGCTTTATTAGAGGAATTTGGTCTCAGTTATGCAAGTGGATTCTTACAAATATCTGTGGTTTCACCAGTGAAAATTATCAAGTTAAAGCTATGCCAGAGCCTACATGGAATTCTTCTGGCCCAAACCCAAGAAAAAAAGAATTCTTTGTTGGTTTAACCATTGAGAAAGGTGCAGCTGTGGTACTAGTAATAGTGAAGATAATAACTCTACTGATTTTCAAATGGAAAACTTTGAAGAAGAAGCAAGGAAGAATATCAGTTAAGTGGGGAAACGCCACTTAAAAACCAGACTTAATCGTGAAAGACATATCAGTTATTTGCCAATATATAAACAATGATTTTTCTGTTGGAATTGTAGTTATATAGATTTTTACCTCTTCCTTTTTTTAGTATTTTTTAAAATTAAAAAATCCTACCTTTAGAATAAGTAACTTTTATAACGTGAATATGATTATTACAGATAATTGAGGCTCACAGTGATGCTAATCATGTCTTCATAGGTATTTTACTTGGTTAGGCATATTATCTGTTCTTAGGTAATATGATGGGCTCAATAGGTAAATATAGTGACAATTATGTTCAATCATACATTCATCAAAGTTCTCAATTTCCACTGGGAATGCCTCTGGTTTTCAAGATCAGCTCATGGCCAGGTAATGATCCTTGGGTAAAGCGTGTTAAAGATACATGATGTACTGCCTAAATACTATGTTTTCTCCACCAAGGTAGACTTGACTCACTTTGTAAATAATTCTATAGGACAGCACTGCCCAATAGAAATATCTGTGAAGATGGCAATGTTCTACCTGTGTGCTATTCAAGATGGTAGCCACTAGCCACAAGTGGCTATGGAGTACTCACAGCAACTGAGGCACTGAATTTTAATACCTAGTCACACGTGGCTACCATAATGTACAACACTTCTATAGCTACTACAGAGTTTGGGCTAGGGTCAGCATCCCTGACTCAATGTCCTTCGGTTAAATACACTGGTTCCTACAAATCATGCCAAATTCCTGATGTTATTGAGATAGTGTTTATCCTAAGAAATGACTACTCAATTTATGTGGTGATATTTTTATTATAGCCAAAAGCTTCTTTATAGATAGTAGATTCTTTTTAAAGTTTGAATTCCTTTCCTTTATCAGTGAAACAGGAAACACACATCTTTTATGTATGATTACTCTTTAAAAGTACATTCAGATGTCAGTCCATAAAGTCTATATGGTTAATTTAAAAATTGGTCCCAGATATTCAAGAAATAATCTGGAAATACCTAAGAGTTTTCTTAAATGGAGCAAGTGGAAACTACTGTGTTTTCCGAGTTTTAAACTGGGATTTTACTCACTGTTTCCTACAACCTTTTGGAAATTTTAAACTAAAATCTGTTTCCTTACCGAAACTTTTTTTCCTCCTTCACGCGCACATTCTGCTTTGCTATTGTAGGGTGGTTCGTGTGGGCTGGGCTGCTGGAATTGATTGTTTTCATGTAGAAAAAAGTGGTTAAAAGATCTGCCTGTTCTTCAAGACACATATAAAGAATTACATGGAGTCAGCAAACATACCATAGAAGAAACCAACTCTAGGCCAAATCATACGGCCTACCAATCTTGGCAGGGTTCCTTAAGCAAAGAGTGGACTTTGGGGCCCATAATGAGGCTCTATTCAGCAGGCCAGCTTGGTTAGGCCACGAGAAGACAGGAGGAGGAGGAAGATGTGTCCCAGGCTCTAGGGACCAGGTGGATCGATTTCTCATACAGCCAGCAATTAATTTACACATAGAGAACAGACACGAGGACACACAAGAAGAGACTGAATAAAAATGGTTGTATTTCTAATCTAAGTAAGAAAAGTTCAGTTTAGCTTCACCATATTTTCCCTTGGGTCAAAGCCTTCCTGTGGGTTGCCAATACACACAGCACACACAGCTGACAGCTCCAAATCTGTGCCCTTTCCTGCGCACCTGCTCAGAATGATCAAAACTGACCTTCTCACAGCAAAGGCTATGACCCTGATGCTCCCAGTCTACGTGTGGAAGGAAACTGGAACTGCTTAGAAAAAAGTTAGTTTGCCCTGCACAAATTAGAGTTTGTGTCTGGGATAGGATGCATTATCACACACAGCTGCCTGAAGTCTCAGACACCATGACAGACAGCTCTGCCAGTGATGGGTACATTCAGCCAGTGGGGAGCAAGGCCCACCTGCATGCATGCAGCCCTGCCGCGAAGCCTCTATAGGTTAAACCTCAGAAGCATTGCCACCAGAGATGAGCTTTGTTAGATTTTGAGAAACTGGCATTAAATAAACAACAGTACATTAAAGCCTGCGTTTACCAAGTAGTTTATAAGCACTAGGTAGGTGCACCACCACCTGTAGTTTGGGGCACGACACTAATGAAAACATACGTTTCAATACCTGACATTCAAAAGGCAATCATTTGAAAGCTGTATCAGCCAAAGCGGACTGAGTCTATAGAAATAAGGCCTGAAGAAATCTGAGTTTGAAAGAAAATCAGGGTGGTATCTCTAAGAACTGAAAGCAGACAGAAACTCAGATAGCACTGGTTTCCAAAATTCAGTGACCAGGGTAAACTTGGAAAACTTGGAGAACATTTCTAAACGGTAAAACCAGCAGCTGGTAATTTCCCATTACCTATAAAGCCTGTTTCTGAGGAAGTGCATTCATTTTGAACGTAGCCTTTTCCAGAACAGGGCTGTGTTATTTCCTAAGAAATCAAAATTGCCTAATTTAGCTTTCCTAATAATCATGATCAGTGATATTTATGGCATTTCTAATTAAGTAACAAAGTGGGCAAAACTGCTAATAAAGAAATTCATATGACTTGGAATGGTGAAGGGCTCGGGGAACTCAGGCATGAAGCCCTGGCCTGGGGGGGCTGCATCCCCAGAATAACTGCTGGGTTCATTAACGCAGCACATACTCATCGTTGCCTGCCATGTGCCAGCTGCTGTACCAGGTGCCGAGGTGCACATTCTACCAGAGATTTAAACTGATGCTGCTCGGAACACAGAGAACAGTAAGGCAGCAAGGGGGCCTTAGAGACAATGAGCGGGGGTTTGGAGAAAGAAAATAAGGGCAAGACTGAGAGCAGCAGGGGTAGGGAAGCAAGAAATAGCAATTCAGTCTGGGAGCAGCAAGGATAAAAAGCAGAGTAGCTAACAGAGCTTTGCAAAGTTCAGAATGGAGGGGACCAGAGAACCCAGGGAGGGGACCAAGCTGGAAGCAAAGAAGAGACACAGAAGCAGAGTACCTGAGACAGAGTTAACGAGAGGGCTCTGAGCCAGAAGCAAGAGGTGAGGAGAAGCTGGGTCTTCTGGGTCTTTTTTTTCCCCTGCTGAATAGAGCCTTGATTATAGTGTTACCCAATGTCTGATCAATTTCAGCCTATTTTCTTAACATTTCATGGTGAGAACCACATGAAAGCAAAAGCACCCCAAAGCTAAGAACCTTGAGTCAAGTGTGGAAGAAAAATTCCTGCAATAGCTGCAATTAACACCCGGTTTAGGTATAATATTATGGAGGGTGATTTAAAAAGTTTTTTTAACCATCAGGTTTATTTTCGTTCCCACTCCAATGAGCTTAATGTAAGTCCATTTTTTTTTTTCAGTAACAGCTGTTCTTTTGAACCTTCTGAATAGGCATCTGATTTAGATTTTAAGGAAGTCATTTTAGGAGTCGGTGCAGACTCCCATAAGCACAACTTGGGTACATCTAAGCCCGTGCACCACAGACTTTTTTAAAAAAGCAAGAATTCTGGCGGCCAGCAAGGAATTAGAGTTAACTGTTAAATCTAAACCCAGTGGACAGATTTTCCTCCTTCAGGCTGTAAATTCAGGCTGAAGTGGTTTTCAAGACCATCTCCTACTTTTGAACTTAATATAGAAAATGTATGCTACTAAAGGGGAAACGCTTCTTTCGATTTGCTTGGATCCCAGCTTCATTACAACTTTGTGGCCTCTGTTGGAAAAAACGTTCTCCCATAATGAGCTTTTACATAATTAAATTGGAAATGAAATAACAGTTGATGGGAGCAGCGCCTGCATGAACTGTCTGGCTTGTGACCCACTATCTGAATGACTAGTTTACCTGCCTGCTCTGGGGCAAAGATTTAGGTAAATGCTATAAAATAAGTCTAGCTTGACCAAGACTACATTTATGTCCCATGAAATTATTATAGAAAATTACAACAGTGAGAGGTCTAAAAAGTCATTCGAGCTACTTGTTTCCCTACAGGAAAAAAGAAAAGCGGGGAGGGGGGGGCTTCAAGAAATTTAAACATAGCATATTTTGAAGCACAAACTCAATAAAAATGGTCATTTAAATACTTACAATTCCATCTCTATCTGGTGAACCTCTGTAACAAAAAGAAATTGATACCTATTATGAAAAGTAATCATTCCTGCCTCATAGACTAAAGCGCAACAGTAAGAACCATTAACCACCACCCTCCCCTTGCCCGGCTTTCCCGCCCCAGTAAACCTGGCTAATGAAAACTAAATCAAAACGAATTGATTGAGTGATATTTAAGTGTGGGATATGTGTATGAGGGAAGGAAATTCTCATTAAAAACTTGCAGCACAAGTGGGTAGGGTAGTGCATTGGTCCACTTTTGAGAGGTGAGTTCGTTAAGGAGACTGTCCCAGCCTAGCTGGCTCCATTTAAAACTATCACGAGGCAAGTAAACCAATTTACTCTCTCATCTGTGTATTTTTAAGAGATGGGGTCCCACTATGTTGCCCAGGATGGCATGCAGTGGCTATTCACAGGCATAATCAAAAGCATACTACGGCCTTGAACTGCTGGGCTCCCGTGAACCTGTATCTCAGCCTCCCGAGCAGCTGGGATTGCAGGAGCCCAGCCCTTGTATCTTTTCTTCTGTGAATGGTCCAGAATTGCCTCCTATGTGATAAAACTTCTGCGATATTTTTTGAACTTCATTTTGAAAATTGTTACTTTCCCCCCTATTTCTATGTTTACCTCTCCTTCCGTTATAGAAGAGCAGGAAATGGAGAACAACATTTTGCTAAATGGCTCCCCCTGATGACTAAAGCCCAGGGCAGCTAGTCGACGGTGGCACTATGCTACAGTGGTCAAGAGCAAGGGCTTTAGAGTAAGAGGAAGCTGGGTGTCCAAACAGTCCTGTGACCTTGAACACTTAAGCTCTCTAAGCCAGTTTAAACAAGATAATATAGAGAGAGAACTTACAGTGGTTCCTAACACAGAATATTAAAACTATGAGTTAATTATAATTTCTTTTCTCTTCACTAGGAACACAAAGCTGCCACTTGCAGCCGCACTGGACTTTAGAGCAGTGTAGGAGTGGTATTATACGTATTTTAGGAAACTGGATGAGAGGAGCAGAGGGAGAAACTAGAAGGTAGTCACTGTAATTTTATAACTGTAAAATTCAGTTTTTTAAAAATGTAATTCAGTTTTTAAGAGGCTTAAAAAAAAACCCAGGGATATGTATTACACTTGGAAAGGGACCTGCATTATTTGGGAGAAAAACTTAATAAGTGCTTGAGGTGGACTGTGATGTCTTGAGGAGTTTGGCGTTTGGTTGGAACTGTTCTTCAGAAGGTGTGACCAGGTAAGAAAATTATTGCTTCATGGCAGAAAGTCAATCAAAGGAGAAAGAGAGAGAGAGAAGGCAATGCAGAGTTGGTGGGATGCCATCTGGACTCCAAGGTGTGATTCCTTCTCCACCAACACCCCTTCAAAATTAGCAGGATATTCTACTTGGATGATAATACACTTGATAGAGTGCATCATTTTTCATAAAGAGTGAGTTCTGTGTCCACACAGATGCACAGGTGAATCAGTGATACAGAGGCAAGACACAGAGAAGATCCTGATATTGAAAGACCATGGGAATTGACAGAAATCTTGGGGCTTTTGAACATTATCCGGAAATTAACCAGTTTGAAAAAATTGTATTTAAAATAGAACGACAGGAAGAATCTCAGCTGACAAAAGTGCTTGTAATAAACTAAGTGCTTGGTTAGGACCAAGAGATAAAAATAATGAAGATACGTTCGTCACAAAAAGAATAAAGTGGGCTAGTAAATCCAGTGGGTTATCATGGCCATAGTAAGCCCAGGGTAGAAGGAGGACACTGAGGATAGGTACCGATCCATACTCATCAAAACCAATTCTCTTTTTTATATCTGTATACTGAGTTTGTCTTTCTCTTTTCTTTTTGAGATGGAGTTTTGCTCTTGTCACTGAGGCTGAAGTGTAATGGTGCAATCTTGCCTCACTGCAACCTCTGCCTCCCAGGTTCAAGTGATTCTTCTGCCTCAGTTTCCAAAGTAGCTGGGATTACAGGCATGAGCCACTATGCCTAGCTAATTTTGTATTTTTAGTAGAGAAGTGGTTTCACCATGTTAGCCAGGCTGGTCTTGAACTCCTGACCTCAGGTGATCCACCCACCTCAGCTTCCCAAAGTGCTGGGATTACAAGCATGAGCCACTGTGCCTGGCCAATATACTGAGTATTTCTTACTAGGACTTCAACTTACTAGGACTTAATATCTATACATATGAGTATTTCTTACTAGGACTTCAACCTCTGCTAATGGAGCTGAGAGAGAGGAGAGACTGCATTAACTTTTGGGTAGGATGTGTTCAGAGTCACTGATCCATGTGGGGATTCTTTGGGAACAGCAAGAAATAGATGCAGCAGAAGCTCAGAGATTGGCCTGGCTGTGGTGTCGCCCACTGTGGATTCAGGTATAAGGTCTTATCAGTAGGGGATCTTAAATGGGAGGCATTGACCTCATGCTGATTGCAGCTGTTGGGATGGTCTTAACAATTTTTAATCAGAGAAACTGTGATTGTACATAGCAGCATTGGAGTCCCATTCTGATCCTTTGTCTTCTCTACTGATGGAAATGTGGCTTATGTGTCCTAAGGAGTCAGTGAGCATGGTGGCTAAGGGTACTGGCTCCAGTGCCAGACTACCTGGGATCAACCAATGTAGATTTCTTAGCTGCAGAAACTTGAGCAAGTTACTTCACTTCTTTGTTTCTTAGTTTTCTCATCTGTAAAATAGCCATTGTAACAGCGTATATACCACACAGAGCTATTAGAGGATGCAATGAGCTGACGTAAGTGAAGAACCTGAAACGGTACCTAGAACATAGTAAATGCTTACTAGCATTTTCTAGAATAATAATTTTTTTGCAATATGACCCAGGACAGGGAGTGAAGAGATTTTAGCAGCCTCAGACACCTGGGCATGCATTCTAATTTCACTTCCTAACCCTCTCTAATGAGGTGTTATGTTGTATTTTAAAATGATTTTTTTCTTTTTTCTTGGCAGACTTAACTGTATTTGCTGATTTCTATTTTAAAAAGGATCCCTAAAATGCAATAAAATATACATTTTAAAAACCACTAATGAAGTATTAATATTTTAATTCCAAATACACATACCAAAGGGGGAAAAAAAAAAGAATCATCTACCACGGACTTTTGGCATCTATTTTAAAGTTTCAGTCACCTTTTGTAACTACTGTCTTTTTTTTTTTTTACCCTCCTGTCTGTCTGGATTTTAATTCTACCCATTGACATTTTTTCTTTTGGGTGATAAAAGCACAGACATTGGATTTTAGACTAGAATATTGGCTCCAAGTCTTAGTTTCTGGGTGGCCTTCGAAATGTTACTTAACCCCTTTTGGCACTGATATCTCATCGTTAAAATTGATGTAATACTACTAACCTTAGTGAATTACTGGGAAGACTAAAAATGTTACTAGGACAACATAGGTCCTGCACAGGGTCTGCCACTTAGCACAATCTCTCTCCCTTCCTCTTTCTATCAGCTGCTGTAATGATGATTAAATCAGGAAACTCTGGTCCTAACCTCACTGTATATCTAAGGAGGTTCAATCAGCTGAAGTTGGTGCTGGTGTCTATGCTAGGAGGTTGCTTAGCAACTCATAGTGAGCCGTAACATCGCTGTAAACAGTTTGCATCAACAAGGCTTCAATGATCGCAGACAAACACAAGCATTTACTAAAGCTGAAGGGATAGCAAATTGCTAGAGCACTTTCCCAACCCCTTTGCATTTATCCTGATTTCTTTTCCAAGAATGATATGTGATCCAATTAGAGAGTTAATGAAAGCATTAAGGAGTTCATAAAAAGCAAAGGCTTATATTAAACATACTAAACAGCTTGTCCTTTGACCATCACTGATGGTGGAACCAGCTTACATCTATTTTGCTACCACGTAAGTAATTTGGGACTCTCAAATGATAAAAAGTTAAGGAAGGACACTTGGGATTCTATAAACAAATGTCTCGTTAGAGTGCATCAGATAGCCGTGAGGAATAACTCAGTTATTTTCATAACTTTAGAAACAGTGATGGAAGAACAGTGCTTTGGCCATGTGTAAATTAGTCCAGCCTGCCCTGGAGATGTTGTTCAACCTCTTTTCTCTCTCAAGAGAGTTTTTTCCTTTCTAACTTTCCTCACATGCCAGAAATCTCTGGTGCAGTCAGTTACAGACATTGTCTTCATTCAGAAATGGATTTGGTTTCTGTTAACGATGTTCTCCTGAGATCCATCGTGTAGCATCCCCCACAACACCTGGCACATTGCAGATGGTCACTATACGAGCCTATAATGTCTTCCCTTATACAACTCTTATAGCGTCTGGCCCTTTAGGGAAATTAGATTCCATCTGTGTAAATTTCTTTGTTGTTGTTTACAGAGGTAGAAACTGAGGCCCAGCAAAGAAAAGGGTAATTCCCAAAGCCATGGAGTTCTGGCAGTGCTGGGACTACAGCCGGATCTCCTCAGCCAGTGAAGGCACTATCGTATAGTCTGTGTGGCAAATGTTTAGAAAATGGCAAACTTGTTAAGAAACAATGTAAATTGCATAATCCTCAGAAAAATATTCCTAACTTAATTATTGAGAAAAATTTGTAGGACAACAGTAATTTCCATGAAATTCCAGCAAATGTAATTTCCATGAAATAAATAGTTACAGAAGAAAATGTACAAAGAAAATACAAGAACTTAATATTTGGCATCTAGACAAAAATAACTTTGTTCCCCCAATCATTTATACTCTTTGGCTTAAAAACTTTCAAGGTTTCCAGGTGGCCCACTGCCTATGGGAGTAGCCCACACACCTCAGCCTGCTACTTAAGGCCCTTCCTATCTGGTACTGGTCTCCTTTCCAGCCTTGCCTTCCATTGTCACCTTTACCTGTAACCCCCAAGTAGACAAACTGCCCATTTTTCTTGTTGGTATATGCCTAGTGGACTTTTCTACTTTTCTGCTTTTGCTTTTGTTATTCCCTTTGCATGAAATATACATCCTCATCTTCTTGAAGGCCGAGCTCAAGTCTCCTCCCTCCCTGAAGTGTCAGTGATCATCAGTCCAAATATGAGCTTTCTCACCCTCAAATTCTCATGAAATCCCATCTTAGTTGCTTGTAAGGAACTTACCACATATTAATTTGTATCAGTAATAAGAAAAGTACCAGCAGCTGCCATTTGCTGAGCATTTACTAAGTATTAGGTACCATATTAGGCATTTCAAATATGTTACCACATTAGGTGTATAAATAATACTTTAATTTGTGTAGTAGATATTTCATCTTATGAATCATAAACTCTCAAAGGACAAGGGCCCAGGGAAATATTCAGCATCTTGTGATAAGATTTAGGCATGATAAAAATATACATAATGAAAAGCTAAAGGTGAGAATGTGGCTTTCTTGATTTTCACCTGTACCCAAACAACTATTGCTTTTCCCATTTTCTAACTTTCTTTCAGAGATTCTAGTCAAATTAAGGGCATAATGGTCTCAGTTCTGGTGTATAACAAACCACACCAGATCTGCATTTCTACCTGGTCACAACCACTTGTAGCTGGATAGTTGTGCCCTCCTTACACTGGTCTTGTGCTGAAGTCTCAAGTTCCTGGCCAGTGGACTTCACGTATTTAAGTTACCTGCTTGGCTCCAAAAGGCAACTGAGATTTTGTGTCAGAGCCAAATACTTCTGCAGGAGAATTCAAGATGGTCAAATAAGTGGAAGGAAGTTAGAGGGGGAAAAAAACCGTTATGTCATTGGACATTTTCGGGGTCTGTCAGTGTCTGTGGGCAATTAATTTCCTTGAACATGATCATTTAAACATGTAAGAGCACCCCCATAGTTGTTTCTGGCATTTTTTTTCTTGTTCACTGCCAAATATTCAATCATTCCTGAATTCTGTTGATTTACAATTCATCTTGTACAAAATCTCGGCATCTCAGGTAAGAGCTTTGAGATGTTCTCTAGTCTACATTTCTATGTCTGGCTGGGTCTAATCTATCCAAACAGGTGTTTTGTTGTTAGTTCAGATCATAGGGTCAACCCTATCTGTGAAAATGAATTCTTTTTATCTTTCACAAAAGTAACAGTCACATTTTCTGCCTCCTGAGACTGCTGGGAAGTATGATGATCCAAAGGAAAAAAAAAAGAAAGAAAAAAACATGATAAAAAAACTGAACACTTGAAAGATTTTTACCATTTTAGCATAAATCCAAAAACTGTTTATATTGAATAATTACAATTTATTCAGAAATGGGGAAAGCAAATAGTACAGAATATCCGAGAAAACTGTGCGACAATCTTATATTGACTGTGACAAAGCATCTCTTATGCAAATAGCTTCTTTGAGGCGGCAAACTCCTAAAGTACTTACGTAGAATCAGTGTCCTTTTCTTTCTTCCGTATTCCAAAGGCCTTCCTTGTACGTTTTTTCAATCCTGTGGGAAAACAGCAAAGGGTCAAAAACTCAGCAACATTCAAGTGAACATATTTTGAAAGTTGTAATACACCATTTAGACTTCAACGTTCAAAAAGCAATGATGTTTCTTAAGTTCTATGTATAGCTATGTGTGTTTGCATGTGCACAGGATTCATTATTACATTTTTCAATAGATATTTATCAAGGACTTCACACTATAAATTCTTAGCATATAAGCAACGTAAGGATGCATGGGTACAGAAAAGATTGCAAGTTTTTCTTAGACTACTGTTATTCATCACCCAAACTGGGGTTCTGCCAAGAAGCCAAATCGCAGATTTAGAAGAATAACCATTTTCAGGTTAGACATATTCTTTGGACTGAGATAATGCCAAGACACAGATCATGTGACCCATATCAAGAGAATTGCACAGATATGACACATCTTTGTGTCCCTTAGTCCCATCTTATCTTTTACTACTTCCTCCAATCTATGTCTGCACTGAATTATTAACCATACTCTGAACACACCCCGACGTTTGCACTCCAGTATCTCTTTCTCTCTTGTGTGGTCCTTTCTTGTGGTTGAAATGCTTTCCCTACTTTGTGGACATTTAGAATTTCAACTCATCCCTTAAGGCCCAGGCTAAATGCCACTCCTTCTGCAGGGCCTCTCAAACCTAGAGGCATAAGACACTGACTATTCTGCGCTCCCCTCAAAATGTTGCTCTTATATGTATTATGATACATCACCTACATAGATACCACCTATTCCTTCCTATGTCCATTGCCCTAGTAGGCTGAGATCCTTTCTTGAACAAAGGCCAAGGCTCCCTCATTTATAAGTCCAGATAATATTTGTGATTTAAAATATCTTCCAGGAAGCACCATTACAGCAGCACTAACTAGGAAAGCCCTTTTCTTCCATCCTGACAAGCCAAGCCCAGTCTTGCTTCTTCCGTACTTATCCTGTCAAGGTTGTTTGGGTTTCCCATCCCCGACATGTTCCATAGTTACAGACATGGCTTGTGCTTCTGTTAGTATTATTCAAATATACTAAATGCTTATATATTCAAACCTTAGACTTGTTGTTGGTAGTTTGGAAAGTCTTCTTGAGAAAATGGATCTGAGGGTCACTGGTATTTCAGATTTGTTTGGCACTACCAGGTGGGACAAAGGGAAAAACAAGGACAGAATCAGTGAGTTGATGATATGTTCTTCCAAAACATGTGAGTCAGCCCAAACCTCTCAGATTATCTGAGTCATTCATTATCTGCCTCTTAGGATACTACTGAAATACAGTCTTCAAAATGTCTTCATTCTGTCTAATTTTGCATTTTAATAGTCACCCATTTAAGACATTTCTTTAAAATGTCAATTTTTTAAAAAACTCCTCCTACATAAAACTATTTTCTGTTACTCTCCACGTTATGTGGAGAGTACATAACGTGGAGAGTAACAGAAAATAGTTTTATTGACATTTAAAACTACCCACCCATAATATTTAGAAACACCTTCTCCCCTGTTGTTTTTAATTTTTTTTATGAGAAACTTCTTTCTCACCTCTAATTGTCTTATTCTGTTGTAAGGACAAAGTATCATAGTTATATAATCATCAGTCTCTCCCTTCAATTTTCTGTGGGTTTCAAGTCTCCTAATTGGCTTCTTTTTGCTTCTGATTTAGCTTTGAGTTCACAATGAATGCCATACTCAGCAACCACTACTGGTTTTTACAGGACTATAAAACCAATGCTATAATCATCTTATGTTTTCAAGTGCTTTATTTCCTGTAACTTGACCTATGAGATAAGAGATAGCATGCCTTACCAAATATATCAGAAAATACCCACACATTCCAATACTCTTTGTATTAAATTGGTAACAGAATAGGCAATAGTTGTTTTCCATAGACCCTGTCCTGGTTTTGACCACCAAGTTTGGACAATAGCCAACAGGAACTAGGTCATGAACATCATGAGTTGTCCACTTTCCAGTGAAAAAATGCACTGAATGAGGATCCAGGAGGCAGAGTCCATTCCTAGCATCAGTTCTAAGTGTGTAGGTTAATACAAGCTACATTATCTTTATGTTTCAACCTCTCAGACTATAACAGATCAGCCAAAGATAGGAGATGAAATAATTTGCACACCTTCACAAAATGCCATGCCAATATCTGTAGTATCACTATGGTATCTTTTCTTTCACTGGAAATCATGTTTTGAACACATGAAATACACTTATACATGGAATATGAATAGGAATACACTAAACGTGAAATTCTAGAAAAAAAAAATCCCCTAATCAAATTGTTGAATAAGAAAAAAAATTGTTGAGCCGGGCGCGGTGGCTCAAGCCTGTAATCCCAGCACTTTGGGAGGCTGAGGCGGGTGGATCACAAGGTCGAGAGATCGAGACCATCCTGGTCAACATGGTGAAACCCCGTCTCTACTAAAAATACAAAAAACTAGCTGGGCGTGGTGGCGCGTGCCTGTAATCCCAGCTACTCAGGAGGCTGAGGCAGGAGAATTGCCTGAACCCAGGAGGCGGAGGTTGCGGTGAGCCGAGATCGCGCCATTGCACTCCAGCCTGGGTAACAAGAGCGAAACTCCGTCTCAAAAAAAAAAAAAGAAAAAAAAAAAGAAAAAAAATTGTTGAGCTGGGCTCAGTGGCCCATGCTTGTAATCCCAGCACTTTGGGAGGCTGAGGCTGGTGGATCACTTGAGGTCAGGAGTTCAAGACCAGCCTGGCCAATATAGTGAAAATCTGTCTGTACTAAAAATATAAAAATTTAGCCAGGCCTGGTGGCGCATGCCTGTAGTCCCTGCTATTTGGGAGGTGGAAGAATCACTTGAACCCAGCAGGCAGAGGTTGTAGTGAGCCAAGATGGTGCCATTGCACTCCAGCTTGGGTGACAGGGTGAGACTTCATCCCAAAAAAAAAATGTTAAGAACACTTTACTTCTTTGAAAGTGAAAAGGTTTAAGAAGTTTACAAAAAATGTGAAAACTGAAAGACTAAAGCAAATGAATTTATGAAAGTAAGTTATTCATATCTTAATGAATCTTTCAGATGATCCAAAAAGAAAGCAATCACACCAACTGCGTTAAAAGTGAGTAAAGACAGGTGTGCTCGTGTCTTTTGAGAATGTCTCAAAAAATATTGAAACTCTTTAATAGAGAGCAACAATAGTCGAGGATCTTATAGGAATAACAAATTTAAGATACTATGTTCAATAATCTGTACAGTTTAAAAACACTGTATCCAGTGATTTTCCACTTCAGATAGTTATGATTATAGTATAATTTCATCTGGAGTGGAGGATAAATCTTTCATCAACTGTTTTTTACCAAAAATGGGAGAGCAAAAACGAAGTGTCCTTTAAGAAATGTGGTGACTCTTCTCTTGCCAATATCAAAACAAAGACATCTAAAGGGAAATAATTTTACTGTCTTGATAATCTGGGGTTAGAATGGTTCCCTCCTAAGCTATGGAATTGAGAACACTTTCCTATGTGGATCTAGGATGCCATCACACATATCGTCAGATTCACCAGGGTTGAAATGAAGAAAAAAATGCTAAGGGCAGCCAGAGGGAAAAGTCGGTTACCCACAAAGGGAAGCCCATCAGACTCACAGCAGATCTCTTGGCAGAAACCCTACAAGCCAGAATAGAGTGGGGGCCAATATTCAACATCCTAAAATAAAAGAATTTTCAACTTGGAATTTCATATCCAGCCAAAGTAAGCTTGATAAGAGAAGGAGAAGTAAAGTCCTTTATGGATAAGTAACTGCTCAGAGATTTCATTACCACCAGGCCTGCTCTACAAGAGCTCCTAAAGGAAGCACTAAACATGGAAATGAACAACCAGAGAGAGAGATCCAAGATGGCTGATCACTAACAGCTCGGGATTGTAGCTCCCAGTGAAAGCGCAAAGAATGAGAGGACGCCACACCTTCACATGAATTCTTGTTGCTCACGCACCAGGAGATTCCCAGTGGAGGAGCCCCACGGGTCGCCAGTGCGACTCTTGTGACCGCTGAGGCGGTTTTGCCGGCGCCTTGGAGCGACGGTTCTTGGTGCAGAGTCGGAGAGGCACCATTAATCTTAACGCCGCTGATTTGGTCGGTGCAGTGGGTTGCTCGGATTTCGGCGCTGAGAATCAGTAAGTTGGACGTCCACTCAGAAACCTAATTACAAAGATGGTGAATTCAAAGACCACAGATGGATAAATTTATGGCGAAGGGAGGAAAACGGCCAAAAAAGGCTGAGAATGCCCAAGATCAGAACGCCTCTCCCTCAGCGGGGGATCCCAGTTCCTCATCAGCAACGGAACAAGGCTTGATGGAGAACGAGTGTGTTCCAATTACAGAAGCAGGCTTCAAAATGTGGATAATGAGAAACTTCTGTGAATTAAAAGAACTTGTTTTAACCCAATCTAAAGCAACTAAGAACTTCGAAAAAAGATTTGATGAAATGTTAACAAGAATACACAATTTAGAGAGGAATATAAGTGAATTGATGGAGCTGAAAAACACAATAGGAGAACTTCGTGAAGTATGCACAAGTTTTAACAGCCGAATTGATCAAGCAGAAGAAAGGATATCAGAGGTCGAAGACCATCTCAATGAAATAAAACAAGAAGACAAGATTAGAGAAAAAAGGATACAAAGGAACGAGCAAAGTCTCCAAGAAATATGGGACTATGTGAAAAGACCTAATCTACGCTTGATAGGTGTACCTGAATGTGACGAAGAGAATGAATCCAAGCTGGAAAATACGCTTCAGGACATTATTCAGGAAAATTTTCCCAGCCTAGTAAGGCAGGATAATATTCAACTCCAGGTAATACAGAGAACACCACAGAGATATTCCTCAAGAAGAGCAACTCCAAGGCACATAATCGTCAGATTCACTAGGGTTGAAATGAAGGAGAAAATACTAAGGGCAGCCAGAGAGAAAGGTCAGGTTACCCACAAAGGGAAGCCTATCAGACTTACAGCAGATCTCTCAGCAGAAACCC